TTTCGACTTATTTGAGTAAATAATTTAGTAGAAGGTGTAAGATGATTGTTTTTATTATGTCACGGTTTGGATTTAAAAATATAAAATACTAGCCAAACCCGGATTCTACTTTGTTTATATATTTTTTATTTAATTTTATTTATTAATTCTTGTAAAATTGCATAAATGTAGTTTTTCCGGTTTTGACGATATTTTGAAAAATCGTGACACTTCTATAATAATTTTATTAGTTCATATGGTTGTAGGATTTTGTAATATATTTACTATACGCTATACGCACATGAATTAATAAAATTATTATAGAGAGGTATAAAAAATTTCAAAAATTATATATCAAACCGGAAGGACAGAAACCGGATCTTATAAAAAGGGCCTACTCTCGAATTTGCATCACAAGTTTTTGATTGTTATAAAATTTTGAAATTATTCAATATGGAAAAAAGCAGTTAATTTTTATCAATGGAATTTAATATTGAAAATTTCAAAATTTTACAATATAAAAAAGAAAATCAAAGTTAAATTAATATTTCATTAAAGCCAAATTAAAGTTAAATCTATGTTGCTAGGGAAAAAAATCCTCAACGATTGATATGTTAACGGTTGTCATGGAAACGGTTGCTATTGGTAACGATTGTCATGGAAACGATTGCTATAGTAACGGTTGTCATGACAACGGTTGCTATAGTAACTGCTAACATGATAACCACACGAAGGCTTTTGGGCCTGAGCCACGAAACCCTAAAAATCGAGAAAAATTAATAATTTTCATCCTTCACTTTTATATAATTTCTCAATGGTGGACATGACGGATATGACGTTAAGATATAATGAAAAAAGTTTGTCTTTCACTTTGAGAATGAAGAAGAAAAGGAAAATAATAATAATAATAACAATAATAATAATACAAATACTCAATTGTGGAAGTGCACTTTACAAAGTCGAGAGTGAGATTGCAATCTAAAACCGGTGGTGAAACTACTCTGGTTTGGACGATTGTGCCGTTGTGTGTACACACCCGTTGACCTTTGACTTCAAACCTTCCATCTGTTTTTCTCTTTGGCGCGCTTCTAGTTCCTGCTCCTCCGGCGGTGGTACCCGTTCCATTGCGATCGAGGTCAAAGATGTTACACGTCACTGAGGCATATATAATGTAAAGAAGGTCTCATTGCAACTCAACAGTTACTCACACACACATATATATATTTATTTATTTAAATTAGAATTCATGAAGCATGATTTACATTATTAACGAACCTGTCAACTCTGTGGGAGAAAAAAAAATCATATCATTGATTACTTGATGCTGATCTTGAAATATTTTAAACAAAGTTAGTATGATATCGAGAGAGAGAGAGAGAGAGAAAGGTTTCAGGATAAAGGTTAATGCAATTGTCAGATTAACCTCGACCAAGAGATTGTGCAGTAAAATATTTCATTAAAAATGGTTTTCACTGTATTTTTGCCCATATTTGTAGAATGTAAATGTTCGCCATAAATGTTATACTCATTGAAAGGTTGTAAAAACATAAGAAGAAAATATGACAATATTAAAATAAACAATTTAAAGAATGTTAAATTTTAGATTAACTTAATATTGTAATTTTTAATATTTTTGGACGCGTGATTAGGTTCTAAAAAATCATTGGTTAGAATTATCATTTTATGGAATTTCATATTTGTCATAATTATTTTTGAGCCGAATTTTTCATTTGTTCGAATTAGTATTTTGCAGAATTTTCATCAAAACGATTTTCTATATTACAGAAATTTTCAATCAATATTAAATTAATGTTAAATCACGGTTAATTTTAAATCAGTATTAAATTAATTTTAATTGATAGAAACAAATGTTAAATCAATGTTAAATCACGGTTAAGTTTAAATCTGTATTAAATCAATCTTCAATCAATGTTCAATCACAGTAAAATCAAGGTTAAGTTTAAATCTGTATTAAATTAATTTTAATTGAAAGAATCAATTGCTATTCAATGTTCAATCAATGTTCAATCAATGTTCAATCAATGTTCAATCAAAGTAAAATCACGGTTAAGTTTAAATCTGTATTAAATTAATTTTAATTGAAAGAAACAATTGTTATTCAATATTGAATCAATGTTAAAAAAAAGTTAAATCAATGTTAAATAAATGTTAAATCAATGTTAAATCAATGTTAAATCAATGTTCAATAATTGTTAAATCAATGTTTAAACAATGTTAAATTAAAATTAAATCGAAGATAATCACGGCTAAGTTGAAATCTCTATTAAATGAATGTTAAATCAATGTTCAATCAATGTTAAATCAATGTTAAATCAATGTTTAAAAAATGTTAAATTAAAATTAAATCGAAGATAAGTCACGGCTAAGTTTAAATCTCTATTAAATCAATGTTAAATCAATGTTTAAACAATGTTAAATTAAAATTAAATCAACGTTAAATCAATATTAAATCAATGTTAAATCAATGTTAAATCAATATTAAATCAATGTTAAATTAATGCTAAATCAATATTAAATAAATGTTCAATCAATGTTAAATCAATGTTAAATCAATGTTCCATCAAAGTTAAATCACGGTTAAGTTTAAATCTGTATTAAATTAATTTTAATTAAAAGACACAAATGTTAAATCAATGTTAAATCAATGTTAGATCAATGTTTAAACAATGTTAAATTAAAATTAAATCAACGTTAAATCAATATTAAATCAATGTTAAATCAATGTTAAATCAATATTAAATCAATGTTAAATTAATGCTAAATCAATATTAAATAAATCTTAAATCAATGTTAAATCAATGTTAAATCAATATTAAATCAATGTTAAATTAATGCTAAATCAATATTAAATAAATGTTCAATCAATGTTAAATCAATGTTTAAACAATGTTAAATTAAAATTAAATCGAAGATAAATCAGGGCTGAGTTGAAAACTCTATTAAATGAATGTTAAATCAATGTTCAATCAATGTTACATCAATCTTAAATCAATGTTAAATCAATGTTTAATCAATATTAAATCAATATTCAATCAATGTTAAATCATTGTTAAATCAATATTAAATCAATGTTAAATTAATGCTAAATCAATATTAAATAAATGTTCAATCAATGTTAAATCAATGTTAAATCAATGTTCCATCAAAGTTAAATCACGGTTAAGTTTAAATCTGTATTAAATTAATTTTAATTAAAAGACACAAATGTTAAATCAATGTTAAATCAATGTTAGATCAATGTTTAAACAATGTTAAATTAAAATTAAATCAACGTTAAATCAATATTAAATCAATGTTAAATCAATGTTAAATCAATATTAAATCAATGTTAAATTAATGCTAAATCAATATTAAATAAATCTTAAATCAATGTTAAATCAATGTTAAATCAATATTAAATCAATGTTAAATTAATGCTAAATCAATATTAAATAAATGTTCAATCAATGTTAAATCAATGTTTAAACAATGTTAAATTAAAATTAAATCGAAGATAAATCAGGGCTGAGTTGAAAACTCTATTAAATGAATGTTAAATCAATGTTCAATCAATGTTACATCAATCTTAAATCAATGTTAAATCAATGTTTAATCAATATTAAATCAATATTCAATCAATGTTAAATCATTGTTAAATCAATGTTAGATCAGTATTAAATCAATGTTTAAACAATGTTAAATTAAAATTAAATCGAAGATAAATCAGGGCTGAGTTGAAAACTCTATTAAATGAATGTTAAATCAATGTTCAATCAATGTTACATCAATCTTAAATCAATGTTAAATCAATGTTTAATCAATGTTCAATCAATGTTAAATCAATGTTAAATCAATGTTAGATCAGTATTAAATCAATGTTTAAACAATGTTAAATTAAAATTAAATCAACGTTAAATCAATATTAAATCAATGTTAAATCAATGTTAAATCAATATTAAATCAATGTTAAATTAATGCTAAATCAATATTAAATAAATGTTAAATCAATGTTAAATCAATGTTAAATCAATATTAAATCAATGTTAAATTAATGCTAAATCAATATTAAATCAATGTTAAATCAGTACTAAATCAATGTTTAAACAATGTTAAATTAAAATTAAATCGAAGATAAATCAGGGCTGAGTTTAAATCTCTATTAAATGAATGTTAAATCAATGTTAAATCAATGTTAAATCAATGTTCAACCAATGTTAAATCAATGTTCAATCAATGTTAAATCAATGTTAAATCAATGTTCCATCAAAGTAAAATCACGGTTAAGTTTAAATCTGTATTAAATTAATTTTAATTAAAAGACACAAAAGTTGAATCAATGTTAAATCAATGTTAGATCAATGATAAATCAATGTTAGATCAATGTTAAATCTATGTTAAATCAATATTAAATCAATGTTAAATCAATATTAAATCAATGTTAAATCAATGTTAAGTCAGTATTAAATCAATGTTAAAGCAATGTTAAATCGATGGTAAATCAATGTTAAATCAATGTTCCATCAAAGTTAAATTAAAATTAAATCAAAGATAAATCACGTTTAAGTTTAAATCTGTATTAAATCAATGTTAATTGAAAGAAAGAAATGTTAATTCAATATTGAATCAATGTTAAAACAATTTTAAATCAATGTTAAATCATTGTTAATTCAATTTTAAATCGATATTAAATTACTAATTATTCCAAGGGTGCAATTATATAATTTCATTTTGACTTCCCCATCGACATTGACTTTCATAATGACTTTTACTTTCACTTGTGAATTTTATTTTGACTTTGATTTTCCCTTTCACAATATTTATACTTTTCCTGAAATACAATTTGTAATTAAACATTTCACAAACTATGTTTTAAAAATTAAATTTGTCATTACTTACATTAATTAATTATATTATTATTATTATTTAAAAATTATAAAATCTCATTATTGTTATTGAAAATAATTCTGATTAATAATTCGAAATACATTTAAACTTTGACCTTTTTTGCTTTTTGTTTACAGGACGTGGAGCACCACATGTGACCGCGGCACTTGTTGGAGATGGAGAAGGTCGGTTGATCACCACTCCAATTCACAAGGAGAGTATCACATCTCGCAGTAAGGAAGATTTAGCACAGGAGGCAGCTCTCGTGCTCCAACAGGCCGACAGTGTGCATTGCGTGGCACACGATAATCGACGCCTGCCAGGCAGATTTAGCACACTTCCGGTACGTCGAAAAGAAAAACATTCTTTCGAACATCCTCCTCCTCCTCCTTCTTCTTCTTCTTCCTCCCTTGAAACACGACGTAAAAGTGAAGATCTCACGAGTCACAATTTTGGCGATACACCAAAGCCAAAGAAAAAATTAAAAACAACACTCGAACGTAGTCACAGCGATGCAAGTGGAAAAAAATTTAAAAATCCAATAGCAAAACTTTTCTCACCAAAATTAGATAGAAAAACAAAACCAATAATTAATCGTAGTGCAAGTGACGCGTCTCATAAATCATTAAAAAAACAAAGTGAAAGTGAACATTTTGGTACAGCGAGAGTGAAAAAACAATTATCGCCAATAATTGAAGCATCACCCTATTATGATCAGCAACCCTTTCATTTTGGCAGTAAATCAAACCTAGATAAAAAAGAAATAAAAATTGAAAAAATAATACCAATTTCCATTGAGAATATTGACAATAATAAAGAGGAAAAGGAAAATCAAAAGGACATTGACGAAGTTGATCAAGTTCAAACTATGTTACATAATAGTCGTTACGATCAACAGCACAATAACGAGGAATCAACAATACACAAAATGATTCATCGTTTATCAAATGATCGTTCACCACCACCACAATTAACAAGAACAATGGTATCGCCAAGTCCTGGTTTTGGTCATAATAATAATCGTCCATTCTCCTATACAAGACCGAATGAGTCTAGTCCACCGCCAATACAAAATAATGTCATTTACGCCCAAGTTCAATTGGATAAGAAAAAAGCCCAACGCAGTCATTCCGATAGCGATGAGGGTCTTGGTCTTGATCGTAAAGATTCATCACGTGAAAATAGTCCCGCCGAAAAAGAATATCGTCGCTCAGATTATTATATTTCTGATTTACGTCGTAATAATGAAATAAATAATTTAAAATCACGTTATGAAAATGATTTTACCAATGAAACTGATCTATTTGAAAAGGAAAAATTCACATCAACAATATTTGTTGATACAAATCGTGGTTTAGACGCAAAACGTTTTAATAACAATAATAATAATCATAATAATAATAATAATGAATTCACAAGATCGTGTGATAATACAAAAACATCGGAATTAAGTGCAAGACGTGATTTACTTGAATCAAGAATAAAATCCCGATTATTGGCCGATGAAATGTTTGCAACAAAAAAGAAGACAAATAATATGGAACATGAAATAATCGATAAACCGATCGTACCATCACCTGTGACCCCAAATCGAGTTGCTTCACCAAAGCGTTGTTATGCCGATACTTATATTACTGAAACACGTACAAGTAGTAATGGTGAAAAATATATATTTGAAAAGGAAATTCATGAAGATAATGGCAAAGTTTATGGTTATGAGAAGAAAATTAATAAAATTGCCACTGATTCATTTATTGAACCAAAAGTACCACGTGATGGTTATACAGTTGAGACAAGAACCGATAAATATGGTGATAAATATATTGTTGAAACAATGACACATGAGGGTTTTGTTCCTGAATTTAAACCATTTTTAAGTGACAAATCAAGAAATAATTCTGACAATAGAATAATAAATTATCAAAATGAAAAATTAAAAAATAAATATTCAAAAAGTGAGGATATTTTAAATCGACAACAAAAACAATATATACCAAAATCAAAACGAACATTTGAAGCAATTAAAGGTAGAAGTAAATCAACTCAACGTTTAGATGAAATTGGTAACAATAATTTGAGAAATGAATATAAAACACGTTCACATGAAAATTTAACAGATACAAGGGAATTTCAAAATCATAATTATAGAAAATTTGTTAAACATAATCTTGATGATTTACGCGAGGGTCCTAATGATGATTATGATACTGATATATCACAAGTGACAAATAGTCAACTTGAATCGAAATATTATAAAGAGACACGTACAACGCAAAGATATTTAAAAAAGCATGCATTACATGATGATTACGATAGTTCACCACCACGTGTTGGTTATAATTCAAGTCGTTATGATTCCGATACAACGGCACGCGATTCAATAAGATGTGAAACACATTCATCATCGCGTGGTATAAGAAAAGATTATCGTAATAATATTGATGATGATCCAAAAAAATCATTAAGAAGATCACGTAATCGTTTAGATTATCTTGATGATTCAGATGCAAGGGAAAGTTCACGTGTGGGAAAAATAAGTAAAAGTCGATTAGAAACATTTGATGAACAATTACCACCATCGAGACCACCTAGAATTCATCATCATCATCATCATAATAATAATCATCATGAAAGTAAAACACGACATTTACGTCATGAGACAAGAGGTCATATGGAAAGAAGACATCGTGATACGCGACTCAGTGATAATGATCGTAAGGATCGTCTTGCTGATTCGGGTATTGAAAATGATTATCGACGTGATTCACATGAGGCTGATTCAAGACGTGAACCACTTGAATCGGAGGATGAGGGTTTTGCGACATTACAATTTATTAAACATGAACGAAGACATACAGATAGAAATATGAATTTAACACCAGCTGAAAAGAGAAAATATGATAAATATGTAATTGAAAAATCAATTGTCACAACAAAACCACCATCGGGCGCTGATAAAAAATATGAAAAGAAAGCAGTGAAAAAAAGTGGTACTATGAGTAAAGTGAAACAATTGTTTAGTAAGAAGGAGAAAAAAGCAAAGGAAGAACAAAATAAGAAGAATTATCGTATCAGTAGCAGTGGAGCATTAACTGATGATGAAGTGACAACAAGATATAGGGAATATCGTGGGGATCAGCTTAGAAGTGCAAGGAGCGTACGTGACCTTGGAAGTGACTTCAATCAGGTAAGAGAAATTGATTATAAAGATTTGTTGTTTGGTATCGAAAATGTTATATGATGAGATTTTTGGTCATTTTGTTATACACTACTTTCTAGATCAATTCTCCTCGAATTACGATCAATTTAGGTGAAAGTAGCAATAACGTAGAATTTAGGTTCATAGGTCCAAAGAAGCCTTAATTAGTGGTAAATGTAGGTTTAAGCAGCATCAGATTTAGATTCAATATAGGTCTAAACTAGGAACAATTTGTGCTCATTGTGGCTTTAATGAAGATCAAAATAGATCAGACGCGGGGACAAAGGAGCATCTTTGGTTCAATGTAGGTCTAACCGTATCAAACATTAGGTCAAAGTAGGTTCACATTAAGATTAATATTGGTCAAAATAGACGTAATGCAGAATTAATTTAGCTTCAAAGTGGGTATAACGAAGATCCAAAGTAGAAAAAATGAAAGTACACTGTAGCTCAAAGTAGGTTTAAGTATAGGCTTAATTTAGGTTCAATGTAGCTCAAAGTAGACTTAAGGTAGACTCATCAATTTAGATTTAAAGAGCGTACAACGTAGGTCAAAAGTAGGCTTAATTAAGGTTCACTGTAGGTCAAATTAGATTTCAGTAGGCTCAATTTAGGTTCAATGAGGGTCAAAGTAGGTTGAAGTAGGCTTAATTTAGGTTCCATGTATTTCAAAGTAGATCTAAGGTACACTTCATTCAGATTTAATGTATGTACAAAAATGTACAATGTAGGTCAAAAGTAGGCTTAAAGAAGGTTTAATAAGGGTCAAAGTAGGTTGAAGCAGGCTCAATTTAGGTTCAATGTAGGACAAAGTATGTCCAAAATAGGTAAAATTTATACTGATTATGGCTTTAATCTAGATCAAAATAGGTCAGACGTAGGTCAAAAATAGAATCAATGTAGGTCAACGTAGGTCAAACATAACTCATAAGTATGCTGAAATTAAGGTTAATGAAGGTCAAAGTAGACGTAACGTAAAATTAATTCAGGTACAAAGAGGGTATAACGTAGGTCAAAAGTAGGCTTAATTAAGGTTCTTTGTAGGTCAAATTAAATTTCAGTAGGCTCAATTTAGGTTCAATGAGGGTCAAAGTAGGTTGAAGCAGGCTTAATTTAGGTTCCATGTATTTCAAAGTAGATCTAAGGTACACTTCATTTAGATTTAATGTATGTACAAAAATGTACAATGTAGGTCAAAAATAGGCTTAATTAAGGTTCAATGAGGATCAAAGTAGGTTGAAGCAGGCTCAATTAAGGTTCAATATAGGATAAAGTATGTCTAAAATAGGTAAAATTTATACTGATTATGACTTTAATCTAGATCAAAATAGGTCAGACGTAGGTCAAAAATAGAATCAATATAGGTCAACGTAGGTCAAACATAACTCCTAAGTATACTCAAATTAAGTTTAATGAAGGTCAAAGTAGACGTAACGTAAAATTAATTTAGGTACAAAGAGGGTATAACATAGGTTTAAAGTAGGATTAATTATGGTTTAGTGTAATTTAGAAGATCTAAGTAAACTTTATTTAGATTCAAAGACGGTACATCGTAGGTCAAAAGAAGACTTAATTAAAGTTAACTGTAGGTCAAAGTAGATTGAAATATGCTCAATTTAGGTAAAATGATGGGTAAAGTAGGTTTCAGCTGGCTCTTATTGAGGTTTAATATAAGTCAAATTAGGTGCAAAATAGGGACAATTTGTGCTCATTGTGACATTAATGTAGATCAAAATAAATCAGACGTAGGGCCAAAGTAGAAATAATTTTGGTTCAATGTAGGTCAACATAGGTCAAACATAACTCCAAACTATGCTCAAATTAAGTTTAATGTAGGTCAAAGTGGATGTAACGTAGAGTTAATTTAGGTTCAAATAGGGTATAACGTAGGTCCAAAGTAGGCTTAATTAAGGTTCACTGTAGTTTAAAGTAGGTTTAAGTAGGCTCTATTTAAATGCAATGTAGCTCAAAGTAGGCTTAATTTAGATTCAAAGAGGGTACTACGTAGGTCAAAAGTATGCTAAAGTAGGTTCAATTCATCCTTATTGTATGTTAAAACAGATTAAAGTAGGTTTAAAGTAGTTTTAATTTAGGTTCAGTATTTGTCACATTAGATTTAAAATAGGTTTAAAGTAGGCTTAAGGTAGGTTTATTCTAGGTAAAAATAGGTCTAAAGTAGGGTCAATGTAGAACTAAATATATCAAACCACCTTTAAACTAGGCTTAATTTAGTATCACTGTAGATAAAATTACATCTTACATAGGTCGTGAGTAGTTTAAATGTAGATTTAATGTCGTCGAAAGTAAATCTAAAACAGGATCAATTTAGGTTCAATTAGGTCATAGTAGATTAAAGTTTGTTAATGAAAGTCACAATCAATAATAAAATATCACAAATGTGGGTTCATTGAAGGTCAAATGTATATTTTAAAGCAGATCGAATGTGGGTACAAAATAGGTTCAATGTAGGTTTAAAGTAGATTTAATATAGGTTCAATGTAGGTTAATAGAAGGTCTAAGGCAGGTTCAAAATAGGTTCAATATAGATTTAAAGTAAATTTAATGTATATGCAGTGTAGGTTAATGTTGGTTTAGGACCAATGTAGGTTTAAAGTAGATTGAACGTAGGTTCAATGTAGGTTAATAGTAGGTATAAGGTAGGTTAAATGTAGGTTCAAAGTAGATTAAATGTAGGTTCAAATTAGGTCTATGTTAGGTTTAAAACTTAGATTGAATTTAGGTTAATGTAGGTTTAGGGCCAATGTAGGTTTACAGTAGATTGAATATAGGTTCAATGTAGGTTTATAGTAGGTATATAAGGTAGGTTAAAAATAGGTTCAAAGTAGACTGAAGGTAGGTTCAAATTAGGTCCTTTTTAGGTTTAAAATAAATCGCATATAGATTCTTAATAGGTTTAAGGTAGGTTTAAAATAGGTCCAATGTAGGTTAAAAATATAGGTAAAATGTAGGTTTAATTTACGTTCATAACATATTTAAGTATGTTTATAATAGGTTCTTTTAGAAACAGAGATCAATTATCACTTTTTGTTGATACCAAAAAAAAATATGCAATCAATGAATCATTTCCGTGGGTGTTAAAATAGTCAGCTGAGCAAAATCAGCGGGAAGTAAACGGATTTCGCTAAAGTTTCACGAATATATATAATATTTTCTATTGCGGATCTAAAGAAGTTTTTATGAGTATCTATCTCTATATATATATATATGTCTATATAGATATATATTATTAATTACCATCTAAAGATTTAATGTTTTTTTTTTTTTTTTTGCTATTCTTGTTTTTCTAACCGGACATTATGAAAGTAAACCCTGTCTTTTTGCATCTATATAGGTGCGGGCAAGATATTATTCTTCATATGTGTGTGAATTTATGTGTGTATGTGTGTAAGTATTAAAACAGTGTCGAACGGAAAATGCACTAAAATTTAAATGCCACTTGACCAATTCGTTGCGAGAGAATATAAACCACCTGTTATTCCGAACAGCGTTGTGCAATCAGATAATAGCTAACCGTGAGACTTCACAAGCTTGCCAATGGCTTTTATACTTTATTGTTCGCATATTTGGTTGATTCTCTCAACTTGTTTCCACTGAAATGTTACAAAGCTTTGATCTTATCTTGATAGGAAAATTTTTATTTTTTCTAGTAATCATTATCCTTTTAATATATATATATATATATATCCTTTATTTTTCACAAAGTAGTTTATATATATATACCACTTGCGAAAAAAGTCCTGTAATTGCATTACGTAAACCAATAGTCTTATCCGTAAAAGCGAAATTTCTTTTTGATATCAATCTGAATTATTTTCGAGTATACGTTTGAAGACAAAGAAAAAGCGAATAGCAATGTTGTTGTGTTGTTTCTGGTGAAGGAGAGGCGCATCTAGGATTCGCAATCGCGCGAGAGTCAGGCGAGCGTGTCGCGCAGTCATTTTTCCACGTTTTGTAACACAGGAAGTTCTTCTTCAACGATATAAAAGTTCCGTTACAAAATTCCATTTTAAGGTCTTTCGTACATATATATATATACACTTATAGAGTGCATATTCAATGAAGAGACCGCGCGCATGTGACAGCGAGATATAAGCCCAGCAGGTCAAATGTGAACAAGAAAACTGTTTTTATTATATTCTTTTTTGTTATAGACTAATTTTTTTTTTCTCTCCATTTGAAAGAGAATTTAAAAAAAAACTTGAATTAAATCACGTATTTCTTTTTTGGCTAATAGACGTGACATAGTTTTTTTTCTCAAGTATATAAATCAGGTTCTGTACGTAAACTTGAATTTTATAGATGAGGAGAATTAAAATTATGTGACTTTCCTTGAACCTACTTTAGAACTACACTGTAGCTATTTTAACCTTAAATGCATCTGTATTTTAAACCAACTTTAATCTTAAACCAACTTTTATCCTACAATTGACTAACATTTAACCTACATTGAACCTATATTGGACCTAATTTAAACCTACTTTGAACCTACATTAAACCTATATTGAACCTAATTTAAACCTAAATTAGACCTACTTTAATCCTATATTGGACCTATATTGGACCTAATTAAAACATAAATTAGACTTTCTTTGAACCAACATTGAACCTGCATTGAACTTGAATTGAACCTACTTTGAACCTGCATTGGACCAACATTGAACCTACATACACCTATATAGGACCTATATAGGACCTTATTTAAATCTAAATTAGACCTATTTTGAATCTACATTGAACCTACATTAAAACTACATTAAACCTGAATTTAACCTACATTGAACCTACATTGAACCTAAATCGTAACTTTTTGAAACCTACTTTTTTTTATTTACCTTTATTTCGACCATACCTTAAACCTATATTAAACCTACTTTGACCTACATTGTTCTTCTTTTGACCTTATTTTGTACCTACATTGAACCTACATTTGAACTACATTGAACCTACTTTAGACCTATTTTGCCCAA